ATTTATTATGCTACAAAATATTTATATTTCAAATTAAGAACCCTTAAAAAAGGTTTAGGAGTCTGCTTTCAACATTGATAATAAATAATGTTATTATTTTCAGTCATGTGACACTTAAGACTGGAGTAATACCTGCTGAAAATTCATCTTTGCATCAAAGGGATAAATTACCTTTTCAAATATATTCAAATAGAAAACATAATTTGTAATAATATTTCACAACATTATTGTTTTTAATCAAAAAAATGCAGTACTGGTGAACATGGTGAACTGGAGAGACTTCAAAAACATAAAAAAAATAATCATACTGATCCCAAACTTTTCAACTTCATTATTTTAGGAATCATGCTCATAGGAAAGAAAAATCATACGGTTTCTTTAATATCTCTGTTTTTTTTTAGCCACCAATGACATCATGTGTCTTCTGTATTATTCAATGAACTTAAGGCACAGAAGTCATTTGAACTGTTTTGTGTTCCTTATTTCTTTATAAAACCGAAACATAATGAAATTACACACGTTTTTTAATTGCCTGTTCCCCAAAAATGAGGTTGTTTGGTTATTTCAATTCTATTCTTAAGTTTAAGACTTTGAGTTAGAGGTTTTTTCAAATCCCTAACCTTAATTATGAGGTATATTGTAATCATGCTTACCTTGGTAAACACTACTAACTACTGAAATGACTCCATAATGAAGAATGTCAGTGCTTTGGTGCCTTCACGTCTTCAAGACTGCCTGATTTGCATGCTGTAGGTATGTGTTTATGAGACAAAGTGTGTCATGCTGCAGTTGTGTAGTCATGCAACGCAGGAACACATTTCATGTCCCCTCAGAATTGAGAGAGCTGGGTTAATGAGCCCCCCCCCATCAGTATGCATTATTTATTTAGACGCTCTGCACCCCAGAGGCGGCCTGCCTTTTGCCTGTGCACTTTTTTCATCCTCTCTCTATTTCTGTAATCCTTCCTTTTTGTTCGCGGGAGCAGCTCTCTCTCTCTGTTTATCCCCTTCAGACGTTGCACCTTCTCGGCGGCATAAATATTCTACTATTGCTGCTTTGTCTTTCCAAAATATCAGCCGGCTAAAAAAAGGGGGGAGATGCCACAGATTTGCAAACAAATCATGGAACATGTTCACAGCAGATTGAACAGACAGATTGACGTCTTTCACAAACAGGGGACGTCGCTGGTCATCGCATTGGTGGAATAATTGCATGTAATTCCTGCTTCCAAGAACGAAACGACATGTTCCGGCTAATTCATCCAAGCTGGAGTTTTACTGAAATTACTCATGAAATAACTTTACCGAGAGCAGTCATTATGCCATAAGGACAGCCATTCAGAGCGCTATACAGTAATTTGACGTTACTTTAAACAGCAGCAGCCTTGCGTTCTCTCTAAAGGAGAGCGGGCAAAGACATCGAGAGTGCAGTTGAGTTCAGCTCAGCGAGATCCATCATAGTCAACTGATAAAAGTCTGTGTTTTATCTCTCCAGGGTTGAAGACTGTAGATGTCAGCTTGACCCGACTCTCAAAAATCTCTCCTTCCACCCAAAACAAGAGCTGGCTAAGCTAAGGACATGTAAATTAGTGTATGAATATGTATAGAGTGTTACCTGTCATTTTGTAATTACCTCAAGACTGAAGTCCCTGTCTGATCTGCTTCAGATCCTGCCTGGTGGCTAAACGACTTTGATCTAATCAGTCCTAATTAATGGAGACGCAAACAAGACAACTTTAAGGCAGGTTCGTTAGCATGCATCGTGAAAGGTTACACGCCTAGGACAAGCTATGTTAATCCCTGGTGAAGGTACGGTGATTTGCCATTACAAAGTGACCAGCAGTCTTTCATTTTTTTCCAATAAGAGTTGGAGATTTGAGTTTAACTTTGTGCAAATTATTGTTTTGTATTTCTGTCATGATGTTCTGGGTAGTTCCGCTCACAGTGAAGTCCAAAATCCCAGTTTACCTACCTGAAAATTAAACATATGGACAAATGACATTAAATACTAATAAAAAGTTTAAATGTCATAGTATTATTAATCATATTAATTTATAGACTGCCTGGAATATAGCTTATTACCACGCCGCAGGACCTTTTAAAATGAGCTAGTGAAGGTGGTTCAAGATTTACAGTCTTTTGCTAATTTATATTATTTTTAACAAAAAACCTTGCCTTTTCAAAATTTTAATTAAGATGATTTTTTTTCCTTTTGAAAGAAGTCTCTTATGCACACAAGGCTTAATTTATTTGGCAAACACATCAAAACAGAATTATTGTGAAATATAAAAATTTTTAAATAACTTTTATATTTTAATGAATTTAAAAATATAATTTATTCCTGTGATGCAAAGCTGAATTTTCAGCAGCCACTTTCAGTGTCACACGTAATTAATGACAGAATTTTCATTTTTGCGTGAACTAACCCTTTAATGTGTCCTTGCTCAATAAAAGTATTAATAAAATCCTACCACAAACTTTTAAACGGTAGATCATGGTTTTCACGAATACAAATACATGAATATGTTCTGATTGGCTGTGATTTTGCTGCATCGTGCAGCAATTTAGCTTTCATTGTGGACAGAAAAATAACTTGTCACTGGGAAAGTGTCATGCTGTGTCTGATTAGCACACAGCGTACTGAAATGTGCCGTTTTCCATCTATATTCCTCTGTTCGGATATACATGTCTGCAGGTGATGGCAAACGCAATTGGGTGCAATCTAACATAACTGCCTTTCCAATTGCAAAATGGTTTGTAAGAAAATAAAACAATGCACAAAATAATTAGTCATATTTGTTTTTTGTGTTCTTGCAGTGTACATATTCAAAAAGCTCAAACTATCGTTTATCCGAGTCCAGAAGTGCGTAGGTTTCACTGAGACACTTGTCTTTATTTGAATGAAAACATCAAGCTCTTGAGACAAAATAGTCCTTGCAGATGATTATATATACAAAAAACAATTGTGGAAAAAAAAACATTCAAGAAATATACAGCATCATCCACATATCTTTTAATTAGCAAAAAAAAAAAACACCATGCTTGTCCTTTGAACATTACGTTAGAATCCAATCTTTCAAAAACCTCGCACAGAGTAAAAAAAAAAAGGTGCAAATATATACAAAACACTTCATTGCAGCCAGAGTTTTAGACTCTTTCTCACGACTCCCTCCACTTTCAGTGTCACACGATCCTTCAGTAATCATTCTAATATGCTGATTTATTATCAGTGCTGGAAACTGTTGTGCTGCTTAATGTTTTTTTGGAACCTGCGATACTGTGATGAAAAAATCACAAATATTTCCAAAAATATTTTTGTGAAAACCATGTTTTTAAAAAATTTTTTTTTATGATTCTCTGATGAATAGAAAGTTCAAAAGAACAGCATTTATTGTATAAAAAACATTTCTTTTGTAACAATTGTTTTACTCTCATTTTAGAACAATTTAAAGGGTTAGTTCACCCAAAAATGAAAATTCTGTCATTAATTACTCACCCTCATGTCGTTTCAAACCCGTAAGACCTTCGTTCATCTTCA